AATGTCTGGTAGAATTTAGCGAAAAAAACTGAAGTTCTATTTAAAACATTCCACACGCCTGAGTGCCTTAGTCAGTCAATCGACAGACAAAAATGGATTACAACATTTGAACAAGAATTTCTTAAAGGCGTACATTTCCCAATTAGTTGATTTATTGAGCAATACAACAATGCTAAACACTGCTGACAATCTCATGACAGATCGAGGTCAAGCCTGGTTGATGAACAATTGCTTCAGCTGACTTTAGACTTACTGAAGGCTATACTGTGGCAACATGGTAAAAGCACTGTTTGATTTCATATAATGTTTGTATCACAATGTAAGGAATAATTAGAGAACTACTACACACTACTCACCATTGTGTGTGTGTGTGTGTGTGTGTGTGTGTGTGATTGCTGATCCACAAAACTAATGCTCTTCAAATTTTCAGATGCAAACCCATGTACGATTTTCTTGCGCTGTAACAAAACATTAAAAAGCATAAATAAAATCACATTATTGATCACATTAAATAAGCACTCTTTTAATAAACAATCATTTGTAGGCTAATCACTTTGTGGCATAGTTTAACAAAAAAAAAAAAGGCAACTCTTTGATCGTATTTGTTTTTTAATTTATGAAAGCTGTCAAATGTACAGCCACAAATGTCTTGCAAACTTGCAAAGCTTCAATTTGTGTAAACAGTTAACCCATTTAAGCCCACCGGCAACTAGCTGCCGCAGTTTAGTTATCATTTTCCTTTTGTAAGTATTTTTCTAGATGTTATCCATGTTTTATTTCTCAATGACACGCAAGCAAACAACCAAATAAAGGATTTCAAGAAAAAAAATTAAGGTATTCACTTCCTTCCTGTCACATGAGGCTGTCAACTTCCTACCCCTACTTCCAGGAAGCATGGCGAAGGCAAACCCTCCCAAAGAAATTTAATTTTCATGTTACTAATAAGCATTTTTTGTTGACATATATATCCACATAATCATGAAGGTCTCTAGAATCATCCAAACAAAACAAATCTTCCAGGAGATCTATAGTTTTTTGTATACTTAGTCAAAAGTCCAAGCGGCAACTATAGTTGCCGGTGGGCAAATGATTTGTAAGCACATATCATGGGGAAATGGGGTATACTGTGTTAATAGGTTAATAAATCAAGGTTATTGGTCTTGTTGAGTGCTTTTTGCTTTCATAATATCCCACTAAAACATAACTCAACCCTTTAACTGACATCTCTACTGTACAGTAGACCTTAAAGGGGTCATATGATGCGATTTCAATTTTTCCTTTCTCTTTGGAGTGTTACAAGCTCTTGGTGCATAAAGAAGATCTGTAAAGTTGCAAAGATGGCGGCCGCACCGTTCTCAAGCCCGCCGCCTTTGCTCACTCTAGCCCCCAGCCTCTGCTCACTCTAGGCCACCGTGTGTGACGCTGTGTTTCATTGTGAAAGCGAATATGTGGAAAATAATGTGTTTTTTGAACCTTAAACCGCATAAACGCATTTCATTACACCAAATACACAAAATAATGTTCTTTTTAGCAAAATCATATGACCCCTTTAATTTGATAGGGAATAAATCTGTCAAAAGGAGGAGATGAGAGAGCAAAATTTCCACAGCTCTACTGCCCCACTTCTGTGTCTGCTTTTGCCATGGGGGGTGGGAATTTCCAGCTTTCAAGTGACAGCGGCAGTTTACAAACTTCCGTCAGTCACACAAAAGGAAGAATGGAAAGATAAAGAGCTAACGCATAGGATTAATTGCTGTAGATGATCTTTTTCTCCCTTTTATGACATTATGTCTTGTAAGGGGCAAAATATTGAGGCCCCTTTATCCAGTTTGGATGCGTTTCATTCTAATTGGTCAAGGACCCTAATTCTTTTTATGACTAGTAGCGTATGATTCCATTATAATATTAATATTCAAACAAGTAATGAGTTTAAATTTACATTATATGAAATCACCTACTACAGTCAGCCACTGAATACTATGGGCCTAAAAAAAATGCGTAATTTTCTTTCAGGTATACCTTTTTTATTATATAGATATAATATTTTCTTCATTCTATTTATTTTTATTTATTTTAATTTAACTAACACCTCTAAGAATGAAAATACCTGCATGTTCAATAATAAGTATATAAATAAACAAACAAATGGGTGTATCCTACACATGATAATTATTTAAATAATCATATATTTTCAAAAGAATATCATTCATTTCATGAATATCAAGGACTTTTGTCAGGGTTAATCCATTTGACCTAATCAATATGTGCCTATTCATAAAATATGTGATATTTTACATATTTACATCACAAAGTATAGTTTGAAAATATGTTTATGTAAATTTACAAAACTACTTGTACCTTCACTGCAGAACTCCTTGTAGGCTACCTGTAGGATAATTATACTAACACTGCTTACGTAAAGGAAAGTTCACCCAAAAAATGGAAATTGTGTCATCATTGAGTCAAACCTATGAGATTCTTTCTTCTGTTGAGCACAAAAGAAGATATTTTGCAGAATGTTGGTAACCAAACAGTTAAATGCATAATTTTCTTTCAGGTATACCTTTTTTTTTTATTATATAGATGTAATATTTTCATTATTCTATTTATTTTTATTTATTTATTTTCATTTAACTTTTTGATACACAATACGCTGTTGGGGCAACTTAATGGCTGCACTTAGTTCTGCACCATGTTCCAACGCTTTAAGACAAATTAATTTGTTGTGTTTTCATATTCAAGAGATTATAAGCTAAATGCAACTTTTTTGGGGTTTGCATCGAATGTTCTTCGACTTTTTTGCATGATAAATTTGTTTATGAATAAAGATTGATCTTTTGAAAGCAGTTATTTTGAGTTAGATGCCAAAAGCTCTCCTCCTATTCAAATTTGACATTGAAGGGGTGCATACAACATATTTGCCCACCAGCAACTATAGTTGCCGCACATTCAAATACGATTTTCAAGAAAAAGAACAAAACCTGGGGAAAATAAATGCAGAACATGTTCACATAAGACACTATTAACATGACTATATGCATGAAACCATTCAGAAATATTTGGGCACAAATGGGATAATACATTTTAAAGCCTGTCTTTGAAAAGAAGCATGTTTTCGTTTCATCGATGATTGAAACCGTATCATTTTAAACTGCTGTTGTAGCTGCTGTTGTAGCGTTGTTTCTCATTGTTTCCGACGGAAGCGAGTGAGCGACCGAAATAAACCCTAAACAAAGACTTATTTTATTAAAGAAAAAAGGATGACATTAGCATAAAGAGAAATGACTTACCGTATTTCACGAGGCCAGCGAAGATATCAGCGTAAAAATGGATCCGGTGAAGTGGATATAATGCTGTTCTCTGCCGAGTTTGACTTTATTTATCTGTCATATTATCACGTGACCCGAGCATGTCACATGACTCTCCGTGAGTCAGGCTGCTGGTTTATCTTTCATTATTAGGCAAAACAACTTGAACAACACCAACAGAGATGTTCATTTAGTCTACATGACAAAATAGTTTACGTTATGCAAAAATAAATAAGAAAAAATGCAAAAATATACTACTACTAGGCTACTACTACTAATAATAATAATATACAATTAAAACGTATAATAATATTTCTAGTAGTATTTCTAATCTGAATATATAACTAATAAAATATTAGAAAATGATACATTGCACTGCAGTGCGGTTTAAAAAAATGGTTTGTAGCCATACCACTTAATTTAATGTATGTTTTACTTCTCTATTAATTTAATAAACTTTATTTTACTTTATCTTTTCATTACTTCAGAGTTATGTGCCTTCTAGAAGCTTGCGTTCTACAAGTGAACGGTGTATTATTGTGCCATCTCAAAGAGGCACAAAATCACTTTCACTGACTTTTTCATTAACTGTTCCCTCCTGGTGGAATGACCTGCCCAACTCAATCCGAGCCATCTTCAAGAAACGACTAAAAACACATCTGTTGCACCTTTATTTGACCCTCTAACTCTAGCACTTTCTATTCTATTTTAATTCTACTTTATATTTATCTTCTTTTTATTAAACAAAAAAAAAACAACAGCAAAAAACAAACACTAGCTTTCTATTTTTTCTATTCTATCTACTTGTTTTTCTTTGTGTGTGTGTATGTGTGTATAATATATGTATGTGCATATATATATATATGTGTGTGGGTGTGTATGTATATGTATGTATGTGTATGTGTATATATATATATATATATATATATGTGTATATGTGTGTATGTATATATGTATGTATGTGTATGTATATATATGTATATATGTATATGTGTATATATATATGTATGTATATATATATATATATATATATATACACAGCTTGCTACGTGTACTGCGTTAGGCTAACCGAGACTTGTCATTTGCACTTATATATTGTTGCTCTTTTGTTAGTTTTGACTGCTTTTATTGTCCTCATTTGTAAGTCGCTTAGGATAAAAGCGTCTGCTAAATGACTAAATAAATAAATAAACCCTGGCGGTCTGATTTTTGCTGGTTCAGAAAGCTAACCATTAAAAACGAACATTATTCAATAATTTTATACGGATGAATCTCACAATACCCGTCAAGAAATGTCAAAAACAACAAAAAAGCATCAAAAACAAACAAACAAACACAATTTCTAAAGGCCTATCTGTTAATTGGACCCCTTATAAGGACCCATTGTCTGAAGATTATATTTATTACTGAAAATTATTAATACTAATTATAGTCAAATTATTATCCGTTCTCACTCATTTTATATATCGGTAAATTCGTGAGAAATTAACAGATGACTGTGTCTCATGTCAAACTAACGGTAGGTGGCAGTAATGCGCTGTTCACGTTTGCGCACCGCCGCTAAACCAAAGACAGAAGTTGTTGTTGTGAGGATGTGTCAGTGTTTTAACATTTAACATGTCGTGTGCAGCTGTGAACTGTACAAATCGTCATTCACCAGGATCTAGTACAAGTTTTCATCGGTGGGTTGGTTATTGGATTTATTTAGTCTTAATTAATCGTCCAGCCACATTATTAAAACTATTTATTTATTTAACGTGCAGTTCATGTGCAAATATGAAGACTTTTGTCTTTTTAACGTTTTGCGTGTGTGTTGATAATTTTTTTGAATAGTTTAGTTTGAATAGTGTGCAGAATAGTTATTTAAGAGAAACCTAATTCAATAGCGTTTTTTTTTTTTAACTCTTAAAACCTTATAAAAACTGTTTGGATGTTAAAATAGTAATTCAACCTAAATGAATTCGATATGTTTTATGGCTTTTTTTATTTGATATGACCTGCCTCTACTGAACAAAGACTATAAATGAGCTTGTTGTGTTGTAAAAATCGAACTGACTGTCTTTCCCTCTTTCTGAAATCCATCTCTCCATTCATTTCCCTCAGTTTCCCATTAGGTGATAAAGATCGGCTTCAGCAGTGGCTGGTGAACATCAGACGTGACCATTTCAAGCCGTCTCCATCGTCTCGCATATGTTCCCACCACTTTAAAGACAGCTGCTTCTTCACAAACAATAAAGGTCAAGTGTGCCTTGCTAAAACGGCTGTCCCTACCATATTTTTCATCTCTGGCCCCTTTCAGAAGCAGCCACGGCGCACCCAAGTAAGGCAGAGGAACGTGGAAAGTCATGAATTTCATACATACTGTCTTAAAAGGGATGACAGGAGGACGTATGTGGAGGAGGAAGTTGTTTTGGATGAGTTTGTGAAAGAGGAAGATCCAGACATGACTGAAACTAGTGGGACCCCAGTGATTTACCCCACTGAAATATGCGTCATTGCAGTTAGACATGATCATTGCTACTGTTCTTGGTCTTCAAACACAGCTTGTAGTTCCATGGAGGACAGCAGCTCAACGACAGACATGCAGGAGACCGAATCACCAGAGATGTTGAAGTACAATTTGAACTTAGTCCTGAGAAAGATCAAGGCTTGCAGAAAAAAGATGAAACTGAAGAATGCTACGATTAGAAGGTTAAAAAGAAAATTGACTTCACTGTCTTCCATCATTTCGGAGCTGAAAGCAAAAGATCTCATAGAGACAAAAAACATGTTACCCTCAGGCAAAGCAAGTTGTAAGTATATACAGTATATATAATTTTTCCTTAAGAATAATTTAAATGATCAAGGATTTGGACTAGCATCAGTTCATTTTGTTGACAATATGATAAGTTACATATTACAAAGCAGGACATTTTTCAAAAACAATTCAACATATTCTGTGTCTAGACGTGGGATTAATAAAGCAACAACATGGATTTAATATCTGTAAATCAGTAAATTTAGTCAGCACCCTATAAAGATGGCAAAGCAAGTTACCAAGTATATAAAGTAGGCTATATATCATTTTTTACACTTGAATATTTCTAATATTTCACACAAAACATCTCCGGTTACTATCGTAACCTCGTTTCGCTGAGAGCGGGAACGAGACATTGTGAGAATCATCATTTACTCACCCTCATGTCGTTCCAAACGTATTACTTTCTTTCTTCGGTGGAACACACACACAAAAAAAGATATTTTGATTAATATCTGTTAACAAAGAATAATGTCAAGCTTTAAAAAGGACACAAAATTATCATAAAAGTCCACGACTCATGCACTATATTCCAGTGTTATTTTAGTATCATCGAGAATGTCATTATAATTTTTTTTTGTTTTTACTTTCAGTTTTTGACTTTTAGCTAGTTTTTGTCATTTTGTTGTGTTTTTTACATTTAGTAGTTATTTTTTATGTCTATATAGCTTAGTACATAAAGTTAATATAAATAAAAATATTATTACAGAAATATTGCCTTGGCTGAAATAAAATATTATTTCATATATATATAAAATATTTTTGAAACATTTTATTTCAGTTAACTTTTGTTTTATTTCAAGTAATAGAATGTTTTTTTTTTTTTAGTAGTTTTAAGTTTTAATTAACTGTAATAACCCTGCTATATTCTAAGTCTTATATCTTTGAGAGAGGAACAAAACAAACCATTTCGGTCTGAACTATTTCTTTAATTTGCAAGATGGGGGGAAAAAAAAAAAAAAAAAGAGGAAATATAAGTAATATTTATATACATTTAAATATTGTCTTGGAAAATTAATGTCACCCTTCATGTCTCCACAGCTGAAAGGATCTAAACCATGGGCTCCAGCTCAAACCGAAGAGTCGAGAGCTGTAAAATAATTACTCCTGGTAAGAGCCTCGGACTCAAGACCACTGTATGCCTTGGATGAGGAGGTGGTTTTGTTCTGGCAGTATTCTTCCAGTCATTTCCACTGGTCTGTAACAGACACACTGTGGGAAATGACTGTTCTGTAATAAGCCGATTTGGTCAGGAGGATGTAGAGATCCCAGATGAAGAGATATCAGAAGAATACATAAAGAATAGCACTTTATTTTCCTTATTTAGTTTTGAAAAAGCAAGAAACCCTGAAGGAACCAGCATAGACGTGAGCCTGGATGGTGTTTGCATCGCTCATTTTCTCAGGAATGTTGAATTGTTATATGATTTGTTTGTACATTGTAGGCTGCCTATGTTCTACTTGCACATTTTGATATTGTACAATTCGTACATTTCTGAAATATTTGAGATCTTGGTTCCTCTCCTCTAAAAAAGCTTTAGTCTTTCTTAACTGATCACTACAGTACAAATTTAGCATGGAAAAAAGCTGCCAGTTGCAGATATGCTGAACATTTCAATATACTCTACCGGT